GCGACAATACACGGTCTAATGTCAGGCGCAACGTTATATCCGGTTCCAGGATATGACGCACTATCGACTTCGCCGCTGTCGACACCGAATCGCGGATCCTCGAACGGAATATCCAGTTTCTCGACATCTGATCCTTCAACAACTTGCGTAGATTGGAGTCGTCGAATGGCATCGAAGCGTTCAACATTATAAACAAAATTATCCCTAAAGACCAGACATCTGCCAGCTTAGGGTTGTAGGGTGTTCCACTAACCACCTCCGGAGCGGCGTACGCGGCGGAGCCGCAATAGGTTTGACTGAGTACTCGACGATTGTCTCCATCAGTGCAAAACCTCGCGAAGCCAAAGTCTGCTAGTTTCACATTGAAGCGCCTCGAAAGCAATATATTTTCGCACTTTAGATCGCGATGAGCTATATTTTTACTATGAAGATACTGTAAGCCACTAGCCATCTGCCGAAACCACAGTTTTGCTTGGTTTTCCGGCACAACGCCGTTACGTTTTATAAAATCCAACAAGTCGCCGTTGTCCGCATATCGCATAAAAATAAATACTCTCGGCCCCCTTTGCAGAATACTATGCACTTGGATTATATGAGGATTCTCGATTTTAGTTAATATATCGAGTTCGCGGGGGAAAAACTTCTCTAAAAAATCACGAGGTGCTTTCTCTTTGTCAAATATTTTACAAGCAAGGTGCATTCGCTTAGGATTGGATGCATCACAGTACTCTGCCAGATGGACGGTGGCGTACGATCCTTGTCCGATTTTCTTGCCGATAAGATAGCCTCGTTGTTCCAAGGCGTTCACCTCGGAGCTTCGAGGGCTGAGGCGCTCAGCCATTGAGCTCTATCGACTTTATCCTAACCCGTTTAGGATACATTGGACATCTCACTATTCACAGTATGTCCAAGGTTTCGTCCGTCCTTCTGTCAAAATGATTACTCCTCGTCTGGATAGTTTTACGCTCAACTCTCATGTAAGAGAGTGTATCGATATTACAATACAAATCGTTAAAGCACGCACAAGATTTTGTCAAAATATTGCGACATCACAAAGAATTTGGATATAAAAAACGCTTTCACTAGTAAGAAAACTCCCAAAAAGTCATATACACTACATTGATGAAGGTTTTTTCTTTTGTTTCTAAAATTGAAAAATAATGACATTTACAGTTGCGCCGGTGTTAAATTCTATAAAGAGTTGAGTACTTATTTATTGTTTTAGAAATTATATTTTTTAGACATCTTCTCTTTGATCTTATTCAAATCGCAAAATGTTGTTCATAGGTTTCCAGCGGTCCATGTCATTCTATCCAGAGTTATGCTTTTCTCATAGTTATACTTAGGGGTTGCATATTTACAATCTATGATTGAGAATAGATGATCTAGTAAATAAATATTGTATCTGCTTTATGGATATTTTTTTATTTAATGCAAAAAGCAAATGGCGGACTTAATATTACACAGCTTTCTCTACCAGTCAACCAGGGTCTAATAGAAAGCAATACGAGCGTAACAAAGAGAAAACAGACAATGACTTTAATAAATGCCATACCTATTTCCTATTTAGTTAAATAAATCAGCAGGCGTATTCCGGTGGAGATACTTTGAGATAAACCAACACAATTAAAATCCACATCATCGAACTCATTACTAAAGTCTAACAAATAGTGAATTGTCGATTTTGCACACAAACGCGTATATCATCTGCAATCTTGACAAGTGCAGTAGTCGTACTATGTTCGGGACGAAAACCAGATTTTTTGTCTCAAATTGAACTATTTTTGGCTAACTTCTAAGTCTGACAACCTAGATAGCAATTTAAACTTGTTTCTAACTTGCAACAAGTTTGATACATCAAAAAAGAAGACTTGCTTCAAGTTTGCCATGACAACTTCAGCAACTTGTAACACTAAATAAATTATTATTAGTTTCTAATAACTTTAGTTGATAATAGTACCATATAAATGTGAATGTTGTACATGCCTGTTAAAGGTGTACACATAAGGTACGTTACTGACTGATTCATTTAAGTAAATGTTGTGTGTGTATGCTGCTGGCGTGTCATAAATAAATAAACTTGCAGCAAGTTTAAATCAAACTTTCTAGTTTAAGTGTGACAAACTTGCACTACCAGTGCAAGTGTACCTAGGAAAATTATTATCACTACTAGCGTAGTAGTAATAGTAATAACAATTTTCCTAGGTACTATAGGAATATACTTAGGTTTCGAGGCAAATACTACTTTAAGTTTACTAAGTTTTTATTAATCTTTTGATCATTCAAAACTTTTGATCCAAAAGCGATTGCGACTTTAAACTCAGACCACAGCACAGAGTCTAGCCTAAGAGCCAAAGTTATTAACTGGAATGGTTGGTTCCAAATCCCATATTAAGATTACATTAAACGGCATATTACTTATACAATCTAACAATATAAACTGATACCGCGATGCATTAAATGAACTGCGCCATCGAGTTTGCAGACTTAGAACAATTCGGGCACCTATGAAGATGATGGGTGTATAACATATAAGTATCTTTGTCATAACAATATTCAAACAATACTGTCGCAAACTTGAAACTTCATATTTAACATAACAATATTGCAGCGACATTGTCACAAACTTGCCTCGTATATTTGACGCAGCAATTTAAAATCAAACTTGCCCCAATTTAGCATGCTATCTGCAAATTGAGTTGTCGGATGTAAAGTAACGGACATTATTCGAAGGCAGTGATGCACATCTCCTGCAACTCAACTAGCAACAAAAACTTAATTTTTTGAGTAGCATGAGTTAGGTACTATGCCATTTCAAAAATTATGCAAATAAAAAAAATGTTTCAGTACAGAGAACTCTGTGGGCAAGCGGTTATACGATTGTGTCCCAAAATTGTTCACTTTTTACGGTGATTACTGAAGTGATTACGATTTTATTTTATTACAGTCAGTTGAGTTGGCGATAGGCCTACTGGATAATATGTGTATGCAGCTCACTTTCTTAAACTAGGCTGGGATTCAGTTGCACAAACGTTCATTGAGGTTTAATGACGCATTTAAGCTCTAATAAATGTCATTTTTGTATGAGAAATATCGCTTAAAACTAATCAAAATTTTAATGTACAGCTGGCTATGGGAGACGCATATTTTAAAAATTATGAGAAATGGACTAAACTGACATTTCATCATCATCACCACCAGCCTATTAATGTCCTCACCACCACTGCGTTATCAACTGATATTTGGTGGGTCATATCGCATTTAAAAAGTGTTTTGATTAATTTTCATCATTAAAACTAAGCAAGCAAAATGAAAAATTAAGGTTACTTGATTGAAATACTTTAAGTATTTTAAGTAAAACTCTAACGCAAGTTCGTACTTGCGTACCCTCGTGGGTATTCGACGGGACTGTAAGTATTTTCAATGAAAAGATAAATAAATCAGTATATAGGTAATGACATATTCAAGGCACTTTCAGAGGTTTGATGAATAAAAACTCAATGAGTCACATCATAAAATGGATTAATGAATCATTTAATTGGCCTATATTACAACACTAAAACAAAGGTTGTGCAGTTCAGTCCATATACTCTCGCGCAAACGACGAGACGAATCGCACGCAGAGGCTATTAGGATGCTAACGCAGTCGCACAACATATAAAATTACATAGGGCTACTACTCGCCTACCACTAACACTGGCAATTCTTTTTTTTCTTTGGTTGAACGTCATGGATTGACATTTAAATATAATAATTTGTGCTGCCATCTAGTGATACACATTTATGTAGTTTCTTGTAAAGAAGTATTTTTTGGTAAATCATAGGAATAGGCCCATTCTTATATAATGAGGAAGTATTTAAAAAAAACGAAAGCACTAAAAAAGCTCCTCCACTAGATGGGGAATCTAGCAAATGTTGATTTTTGCAGGAAACAAATGCACCAAAGACAGCCATTTCCGTTCCTTTTAACTAAAATTAAAAAATGATTTGGAAACTAATTTACTTTTAAATTTGAAAGAAAACCGGAAAGGTTGTCATGGAGAAATCAAGAACGGACTGTAGCGACATCTAGTTTGATTTCGGGAACTAATTTTTTTTTTAAACTTCCTCATTGAATTCCTAAAATATTTTTTGAATATTGGATATTTTAAAATTTCATTTTCTACCTTTTTATGTTAGCACTTTGAACAATAATAAATATTCTTTTGGGATTATTGCCCCTTTAAAAGAGATATAACCTATTTATTTTACAATCTATGGTTTATAAGTTGTTGGGTTCTGCTATTATTTAAAATGTATATGTATATTGAAAGTTTAATTTGATATTTAAGTTTTTTTTTAATTTACAGGGTATAGAAAAACCTTATTGGATTACTAACGATAAATATATATATCATTAGATTAAACATCGATACATAATAAAAATAATTTAAATTAAAGATTCTAAGTCCGAGATGAATCGATACATAATGTATTTGCATAGATAACTCGCTGCTTATAAACAAAAGGGCCACAAATCGAAAATAAGACATTTCAAGGAGAGCAAGTTGAAAATTTTCAATTACTTTTTGTTTGATTTTTGGCTATTTTGCTGGCTGAGATTCAATGCTAGGCGAATAGCTGGCTAAACATCAATGCTAGTGTATACTACGGTAATATTTTAACAAACCTCAATTTCAAATTGTATCAAAGTATTTAATGAGAAATCCTTGTAATATATTTGTAATACTGCAATAGCACAACTATATTTTGAACAAAACAGAAGCTTCAGAAAAAAAGTGGTGTCTTTGCTGTTTTTAAGCAGCTGTTGTTTTTACTCAGAATACATTTAGTTTATAAAATACTAAAATATGAAGTAAACTGAGCGAAACACTGGAAGCGAAATCTACAAGGGCAACGCCATTAATTTAGAAGAAAAAGAAGAATTTGAAGTTTGTGAATTTGACATTGACATTTAATTATCTACCTTCCGTTTTTATTTTTCATTAAGTTTTGCGGCATATTATTCCAAAATAACATATATTTTTAACAGTGATTTTAAGCATTTTATTTCTACAGTTTATAAATATATCAATTTAACGTTCAAAATGATGAATCAATATTTAAAAGAACTAGAACAAGTAAGTATTAATTTTAACTTCATTCGGCAATGGATTGTCTTATATATATATATTTTTTATTTTGGAGAATTTCAGGACCCCTTTGATCCAGATGAGTTTGTTGAAAGAATGGTACGTCGAGGAATGTCCGAGTCTCGTCTACAGGACGATCAGTTTGACCCTGAAATGATTCACGATATATTTACTCAAGCCATTCAAGACCTTAAGGTATTTTCACGTTTTATTACTATATCTTACTACTTCTACTATGATAGTGAGATTAACACAAAATTCCTGTAAATTTTGGAAGCCGTAATTTAATATTACAAATTTTCTTTTCCCATCTTTAAGGCTTACATGTGGTTTCTGTCCCAGTAAGAAATTTTAAAACTCAAATTCCAAACATTCAGTATATAACTTATAATTTCTACATAATAACAAACATTGAACCTAACAATAAACAACCTCTGTAGCAGTGGTTCACATGCCAGTTTTAAGTTGTTGCCATCTTTGATTTGTTTTAATGCAAAACTTAATATTATTTTTATGAAATTGTGAGAACTGTGTGAAAAGCAAATTTGGATTGGATGTGTAATACTGTAAACTTGAGAGATGTTTTGTCTTAATCCAAATATCACTTCTGTCAGGTTGATAGTAGAATCTTGTTGATCTGAGCAAAACAAATTCAAGAAATATTCTTAATTGCGATAATGTAGGAGTAGACAAAACCCTATTGCTGCCATACAGTCCATGATTGTTGCAAGCATGTAAAATTATAAATATAAATATAAAATTTCTTAATCTGCATACGACTCACAGTGTTGCATCTGTAATGTGTGCAGAGCCATAAGTAAAGAAAGTACACAGCAAAAATCCATTTTAGACCCTTTGTATTATTGGTTAAATTAACTCAGCAGAGTAAACCTTTCATCATACACCATTGTTACATCATTACAGGTATTACAAGAACGACAAGAAAGAAAATGTGCAAGATTAGAAAAAGGAGTTCAAGAAGAAGAAAAATTATATGGTACAAGGCTTTCTGAAATCATGGACCAGCACACTGTATGACTTTTTTTTCCATAAATATGAAATTACTTGACATTTAATTAATTACACATGTTGAAGTGTCTATAAAGAGATGTGTAAGAATGGACTATTGAATAATTGAATTTCTTAAGTCTAATAGCCAGTTGCACAAATGTCCATTAAAATGATCATTAGTTTACAGTAACATTACCAATACAAATATGACATTAATTAGAGCTTAAATGCGTCATTAAACCTCTATGAATGTTTGTGCAACTGAGTATAAGTTTAAAAATTATAATTCCTGACTAGTATTTATTTCATTAAAAAATATAATGCTTAGACTAGAGTTTATATTTAAGCTTTTCACATTTTTCTAACTCAAACGGTAGAACGGCTTTCTATTACCATTACTCTGCTGTCCATCTGTCTGTCACCAGGTTATATCTCATGAACCTTTATAGACTTTATAACAATAAATACTAAAAACAAAGTAAAATAAATATTTAAATGGAGCTCCCATACAACAAACATGATATTTTTGAGTTCTAGATAATGATACGCACACCTAGATCTAAACTAAGACAACTCAAAAAACTAATTTGGAGGTCTGACAATACATTTGTTTACGTGGCAGGAGCGCGACCACTGTTGATTCAACAAAAAAAGAGCTAAAGTTATCTAGCGGCTCATCTCTGAACCTTTATTGAATCTGTTATGTTGGATAGATGCATACGATCACCAAGTATTTGAATATTGTACTAAGTCAAAACTCGCTCAAATTTTTGAGTTGTCTCAGTATAGATCTAGGTGTGCAATATGGAACCAACTTGTATATATATGCATATTGCAGTTCTAAAAGATACTACAACGTAGAATGTATTGATACTACATTCTACATTGATCAATGTGTTCGATACAGTTTCATGTAGTTATCTCAATATACACTAGTGATAATATTAAACTATTACTATGTTTCTGTCATCATAGTACTTATTCCACTTATTATTATACAGCCTTTATAATGTATTGGTCCTAATGAAATATTATAACTAAATAAGTAGTTCTATATTTACCTTTTGTAAATGCACTTTCTATCAGGTGAACTACACTCACTTGCTCATGCCACAATTAAAAGAAATAATATATGGATTCACCATCATATATTTTTATATTCTAATGAAATAATCTTATTAGAATGGCATTTTTATTTTGTATTAATTTTAATTTATTTATTTTCTATTTCAGCACTGTGTAAATGTATTTAGCTCACTAGATGAGCGTATGTCGCGATGTGGAGGCAGGGCTCTCGATGTAGGTGAGAAACTTGGTGCTGCAAGAGCACCCCGGGCCCGGGCTGCAGCAGCTAGAGACCTACTATCGCATCTGACTCATTTCCTCAGTCCGGGGCCCGTTCTCACAGATTTGTTTAATGACTCTAATAAGGTGAGTCTTATATAATTCTTGTTAAAATTTCAATAAGTTAGACTGTTTAAGTTGAAGATCTGAAAGGACTTCATTAATTCAATAATAAATTAAAGTCAGGAATTTGCATGAAATATTTTGTAATGTTGTGCTTTGATGAATGCATAATGAAAATCGTATAATGTGGCTTGTTCAGAACTTTCTAAAAGTAAGATTTACAGTCAGTTGCACAAATGTTCATTAAGGTTTAATGATGCCTTTAAGCTATAATAAATGTCAAAGTTGTATTGTTAATATTGCTTCAAACTAATGACATTTTATTGGATGTTTGTGCAACTGGCTGATAGAAATTTAAATAATTATTCCGAAACACTAATAGCGTAGTTATGTCTGACCTATTATGACAACTTTTTACGGTTTCATGATTTGCAAATCTGTTAATATAGTAATATTAACAGTACAGTTGTGTGGTGTGGTGTAAACCCAACGAAACATTGCAGTCAGCATTCAACTCTCTCGTTTGACTTTTCTCAATAGCTTTCAATTATTTATGGATATCGTTTCTATCTTTCAAGAATCATCGTGATGGCAATCGCTAGCACATGTCAAATAGTTGAAGCATGAAGTTCGTGAATATCTTTTAATTTGAAAAGCATTGCGATAGATTTTAAAATAAGACATTTGGACTACGGGGGCCCATATATAAATTATATAATAAAAAGATCGATATTTGACGTTAATCGGGATAGTAAACTATTGGAAATATCAAACGAAAAGAATTGTCTATACCTATAACTACATTTTTACTATGTTATGTTTATTCATGTGGGATCGAGAATTAAACGATGGGACCGTTTTTAAATCGTTTACTGAATCCAAAATATAAGTTAAGAAAGGAATACAAAAATTGCACGGAGCGCACACACGTCCCATTCGTCTCACAACCAATCTCTCTTCCTTTTTTCTCTCGCTCGCACACCTCCCTTCTCCTTCTTTCCATCGTTCGCTCGGATACATCGTCTGCATAAACCTTTCATACGTTCAGATACACACCATCCATCCCACATTCATATTCAAATCAATTCCATAAATCACTATCACAACTGCTACCTATATACTTGAAAGTTGTTGTGATAAATTTTGAAATCAGACAATTAGGCCACTGGTCTCATTGAAGCATCAAATCTATGAATTCACCAGAAATTAGTGTTGATATGACTGTTGTTTTCAAGTACAGAAATTAATGTTTAGTTTAATCACCAACCTGGTGGTTTTCAATCAAATGTAAGTTAGCACTGCAAAGGTATTTCAAATTTAAAAAATCCATAATATAGTCACTAATAACTTCAAGAAATGGCAGATTTCATAATTTGAAATCTTTCAATAATTTTCTAATTCCTTAAGCTCCTATTTTTTTATTCTTTATTCTGTATTATTTATAAACACATAAGGTAGTATAACATTATCAATGTTGTATCTATCTAATTCATTAAATTGATGTTCTATCCAGCTCTACGAAGCGGCTGATGTCATACAAAAACTTCATACAATTGCTCAAGAATTGCCACCTGATAAATTCGAAATTGCCAAAAAGAAAATAGAAACGAAATATGATGAAATTGAAAGAAATCTCATTGAAGAGTTTGTGAAGGCTCAGAATCAAGGCAATATGACCAGGATGAAAGAAATCGCCGCAATTATGACCAACTTCAAGGGATATTCACAATGTGTTGATGCTTTCATAGAGACTAGTCAAGTGGTATGTATGTAACAGTGACATAAAAAGTTACATTAATAACATTTAAGTTCTTTTGAATTATATAATAATCTTATTATTAATGAAATTCTATTTTTTAGAATACTCTGCTAGGCAAGGATATTTTCAGTGCAGTGTTGCCATTATGCAAAAAGAACTATAACATCATCAGCAATGTGTTCCCGAATCCCGATCAAGTTATGAGCAAATTTGTATTAAACATCTTCCATCTGAAACTACAGAAATATATTCAGACTAAACTGGCTGATAAAAGTGATATAGATAAATATTTGAGGAATCTCTATGATATGTATACTAGGTGAGTTAATTTTATAAAATTTTTGGTAACATTTTGTAAGGAAATATACCTGTCATAAGTTGTTGAAACATTGAAACATAATTAATACATAGCTCAAGAAAAAACTTAATCAAGTTACTTTTGATTTGAACTCGTCAAGACAGTGTAGACTCCTGCTTTACTGTATAAAAAACTTGTTTAGAAAATTTTGAGAAATATGTTAATGTATGAATGTTCTGGCTACATGCTCTCCTTGCCTGCATAGTCTAATAATGAACAATCATGACTTTATATAAAGAGTGAATACTGTTCAGTGGCCACATATGTAATTAAGTTTGAGAAGATAGACTGTGGAAACTTCATACGCCTTGCCATCTACAGGCACGCATTTACCTGGGCAAACTGATGCGTGATGGCATGTAACCAGTGTATAATAATTACCATCAATTCTTTTAATTTCACATGATCTGACGATATATCTTGTTGTAGTACGCAACGAGTATGTGATGAATTAGTTGCTGCAGGCTTAATATCTGCCGATGGTAACACTACGACGGGAGATTTAAGGAGAGGAGCTCTCGTCAATGGGGCTATGGCCGGCGCCAATGATGGTTATCCGACGTTAGAGGCGAGGAGACTTAAGGCAGCTCTAGCTAACTCACTCAATAATTATTATGCAGAAAAACAACATATCAAGAAGCAGATACAGGGCGGAGGGTAAGTTTACTAGTTTATTGATTTCACATCACTTGTATACATTTGAGATCACGATCACGAGTGAATTCTGGAGATGGAAAAACCATTTATTGAAAAGCGGATACCGGGCTGTCACATCACTAGGGTCCTTGTACTAACGCATTTCATAATTTCTGTGCGGAAAATGGTTGGAGAGCGAAATATTATTAAAACACAGTTCTAGAAATTTTAAATACTGTCTAATTTAATCGATATTTACTAAAGCATGTTTAAACATGTTTCATATTCATTATAGTTCATTAAATTTACATTGAAATATGTATGGCGATGAATACGCCATTGAATAGTTATGTTAATAGATTTCTATTTTGTTTTAAGTTTTCAAGAACTCCGTCGAGACTTACAAGCTGTTATTGGTACTCGTGCGAATATAAATATAGCCCAAATAGAGAACTACGGTGGTGAGACGTTCCTCAGCGAAACTCTCGTGCAGAAAATGCTCAATGACGCCAAGACATCGTTTGTGCGCTGTAAAACGGTGAGTATCTTTCTATTTAATAACTTCTCATCTGTAATTGATGCATAATATTTATTAATGATAAAGTTTTTGATAGAAGTATAGTATAATAATATTAAGAAATAGTCTTTATTTATTTCTTGGACTGTAGATATTTATTGACTGTCTATAAATATGTTAAAATTCCAATTGGCACTAGTATTGGCACAGAGAATGGTACAAGTACAACAAAAAAAAAAAAAAATTGACTTATTTTAATTTGTGTTATTAAGGTTATTTAAAGAATTCTTAGTTTTTACTTTTTTATATAAAATCGTTTCGTAATTTTTTTTGCTCGCTGTACCTTGCGCTAACGTCTTTCTAGTCAGGTGTGTTATTAATTCGTCCGACTTGTGTTATTTGTAAGATGATTAATAAAGACTATTTGATATTGTTTTGATGAACTGAATTTGCAGTTTCCATTTTGTTATATTCACGAGCAGCAAGGACTAGTGAAACGAACTATGGCTGTCAACGCACTGCTTTCATTCGGCGCGGACGCAGCCTCACATAAATAATAATTATTTAGGTTTACCTACGTATACAACACATAAGGCATTCTTAATACCGAGTCTTCCTTTTTAGATAAATAAAAATTGAATAATTCTGAATAATAATAAAAATAATGATGTCTATAATTTCTAGCTTTGCACGCCGAATGAGCTTCCTGGAACGACTATTGGGCTACTGGAAGTGTTGATCCAACATTTATTAATTGAACATGTGGACTACGCCTTAGACCTGGGCCTTCAATCTATTCCGATTGCGGAAAGCAAATCTCCACCTCAGGTAATGAAAGGATTTTATAATTTTTGGTTTTATTACCTATAGAGATCTTGCTTGGGTAAAAAAAAAGAGAAATTTGATTTAGTCCTTCTGTTCTATAACAGAAAAATATTAGATATGCATTTTTTTCTTCAGTTTAATAAGAAAATGCTTAGATGATAGGCACGTTGTTGAGGAGTATGAACTCGTTACGTCACAACTATGAAGAAAATGCTGTGACGTCACGCAAGATTTCAACTCAAGTGTTTCTCCGTTATTTGTTGATTACACAAAAATACGTTTTTAATATTCCTCAATAAATCTGATGGATTATGTCATGAATCTAAATTAATAATAATTGGTTTATTTTCAGATATATTTCTTTGATATTGTGAAACAAGCTAATGCTATAGTGAAGATGTTTGGTGAACACTTTCAAGAATCAGTTCTACCGTGTATGAGGTAAGATTTAGATATAAATGAAATAATAGTGTTTATTTAAGTAACGCAATTACAACAATAATTGTATTGTAATAAAACTATCATAAATTTCAATCTAATTCACTTTAAACTAAGCTAAAGCTTGACAGTATAATCAAATCCAACTAAAATGCCGTGCCGTAAATCTGCGTTTGCGCATTCCAAATCCGACGATGACTTATTGTGTCAATAAAAGAATCATGTCCAATTTTGACCTAAAAATTTACTGACGCGTCTAGTGATGCGACATATCACAAAATGTAGCTTATATTTTACTTATTTCATATAGTGTAATTAAGTCTTAAAATAAAATTAGGATAATAATTGCGAGCCTGATAAATATTTTCAATAAGTTACCCCTATGCGATTGACTGCCATTGTAGGGTTCGACAATGGCAGTTTACTACACTACCTCGATGCGTAGTATTTTCGTAGTAGATTACTTTCGAAAAAATATACTTTCGTCATCTGGTTAAAAAGTGCACATTAACAATTACATATTAATTTATTAATTTACTTCTACATATACGAGTCAAACTATATAAAGCTTTTAATTTAATGCATAAATTTTTAAAGTAGCTGATATAACCGCAAAATATTATTTAGAAATTATGAATCTCCTTGGCCTCCAGATAAAAAGATGCTTAGATATTATTATATTTGAAGCTAAAACCGTTTTAAATTATCACTAATATTAGGTAGACACGATCTTTAAAGAAAACATGTGACAAGTCTTCTTTGTAATCAGTCTTGTTCTAATAACGGTAAGGTGTAAAATATAACGACAATAGGATCCCATTCGGTGGTGATTAGACGTGTGGTTTGCCTGATGCGTGCTACTTGAATCGTTTTGAATCGTCAGGTTATTTCTATATATTTTCGCGATTGATTTTCAACTCTACCCTTAATGTATTAAGGGTTAAAATCAAGTGACGAAATTTGGCAACTTTGTATAACATGGTGTTGACTGTATATCGTTTAGTCATATTAGTTGTGATTTATTTACTGTACCCATCTATACTAATATTATAAAGCTGAAGAGTTTGTTTGTTTGTTTGAACGCGCTAATCTCAGGGACTACTGGTTCGAATTGAAAAATTATTTTTGTGTTGAATAGACCATTTATCGAGGAAGGCTTAAGACTATATATCATCACGCTGAAACTATTAGGAGCAAAGAAATAATGGAAAACGCGGACGAAGTCGCTGGCGGCCACTAGTATATTATAATGTATAATGGACATGTGTTAATGTATGGTAATACTTTGAAACGAAATGTAAGGAAGGGAAGACCAAAGAAAAGATAAGTAAAGAAAGGAGTGAGTGTTGAGATGACGGTTGATCGAAAAGTATGGAAGAATACATAGTGATTTGGAATCATCATCTTTCTTTCATAGGTGACAGATTTTGTATTTTTTTACGTAGTTCTACATCTAAACAAAGCGAATGCATACAAAAGAAAACATCTATAATGGAACAGCTGGAAAGTAAGCTGGACGCCGGTTTGGAGCGAGCTATAGCAGCGATAGTGGGATGGGTTAAGCTATATCTGCAAACTGAACAGAAGAAGACCGACTTCAAACCTGAAGGGGATATAGATACGATCGCATCACCGGTCAGTTGCGTATTCTAATAATGACAATATTTTGAGCTTAGTTTACGTTGAGCCTTCTTTATTTACTTTTTGATGTATGGAACATTTTTCATAAGACGCGTTCACTGCAAACGTTTGCGTTTTCTATTTACTCTCTGAATGTTTTCGTTTCATTCGTGTTTTTGAAAAGCAAATCTACTAATATTATAAAGAAGAAAGATTTATGTTTGTTGATGTAAATAAGGACCGATTTAAAAAAAAACTGCACGTGAGTGGCATGGGCTATAATTTTCGCGAACGAAGTCGCGGGAAAACAGCTAGTCGTTAATAAATATAAGACAAAATCACTTACTTTGGTCAGATTCCAAATTTAGTGGTTCTACGGTTAGTTTCACAAACATCCATTAGAGTTTAATGACGCCTTAAGCTTTAATGAATGTCAAGTGTGTCTTGGTAATGTCGCTTTAATGACAATTTTAATGGACGTTAATGTAACTGGCTGTTATCCTCGAATTATTGAAATCCGAAACAACAGACTAACGCCGATATCCGAGACAATAAACCTCTTTTAATTTTTTTTAAAAAGCTTTTTTATTATAATTTATTTTTAGACATAAATTTGACTTATATTGTTTTTTTATTTGTGCTTCGTATTTAATCATAATAAGAATTGGATATACTATGAATACAGCGTCAAAAGATTGTACTTTGAAATCTTAAGATATATCATACGCTATGAATCTCTTGTTACTCCATGATTTTTCCTGACTACACCCCTCCTCCCCGCGTTTACTTAAGGCGCGTCATATCAGTGTTGGTTAGACTATAAATGATAATATTTGGTGTAAGGTTGCTGGAAGAGATCACTTTTAGTGATAAGCAGAGGTCGGAATTAGGTAGTTATTTATGTACTTGCATCGAAATGTTGATATTAATGTGGACCTTCGTGGCAACATCGCGCGTATTGGTATTTTGCAACTTTCATCCGATGTCATTGATGTAAGTTTGGCAACGTCGTGCGCGCAGTAGTTTAAATTGTATAAAAGTAAATAACTTTTTATTTAAAAAATCACGGGATTTTTTCTGCTCTTTAAAATTAATCTCGGGATTTGAGGCTTATCCACTTTATTCTTTTGCTGTATGAAATCAGTGTAAGTACATGAATAACTCTACCTAATTCCGACCACTGGTGATAAGGCCGCCAATTGTACGTCTCCTTTTTCGTCATATAAATGTATTTTGTCTATGTGTGTACAATAAAGAATATTCTATCTATCTAAGGCATGTTTGGCGGTGGTGTCCTATCTGAACTCCGTGATGGAGAAGATCCACGCAGGTCTAGAGGGAGACAACCTGAACGCGGTCACGCTCGAACTGGCCGTTCGTCTGCATCGAGTCATCTATGAACACTTACAAAACTTCCAGTTCAATTCAGCAGGTATTTATTAAAGCTATTGTTTGTTTTTTTTATCTTTGTTGCGCCCGTAGTGCTTTCTCTTAGACACCCTTAGTGGTCAACTGGTAAAGAATGTTGTATGGCATTAATTCCGCTCTTTACTGTTTTGAAATAAATAAATCGGTCTGCAACGCTTTCATCGAAGCAGACACCGACTTAAGCACATTGATTGTCAATTTTATTGGATTGTCGGGCTTTGGTTTATTGACTAATGAAATGTGCACTTCGCATGCAGGTGCTATCGTCCAATGTAAATAAGCCATTAGATTAGGCTCAATTTCTAACATTCCAGTTATCTCATAAATGATTCACATCATATGCTTTCTCATTTATGATGTTAAAATGGATATTAAGGTGACATGGGTGTTGAGAGGTCAAGCATAGAAGTAGCAATGTAGCAGGGCATCGAACGATTTATTGTAAGAGAGATAGATACCTGATAAGTTGTATTTTAATCCTTATGGTTATTGAAATAATTCCAAACTTTAAAAGGGGGCTTATATACATGCCCTTAATTCTAGCTCCCGAAATTCAGGAGGAAATTAAAGTACTGATCTTCATGGTTGCCAATGATAAATTGAACCCTAAAATTATATTGTTATAATTATTGAAAAGCGTTAAGTCAAAGTTCCAATTGATATTATGTGAAAAACAATGGATAGGTCGTGGGCTATTCTCAAATACCATACCGGTCTACAGTTATAACCGTTTGGTCACCGTCGAAGTCGATTGTTCTGCGCAAACGAAGATTCATCGAGCTATGGCTTAGTGGGATTGTACTGTACAATAAAATGTAAAATAAAACAAGTTTATAAGTAACACCGACGTACATTCGTAAAAGTTCAATTTATATCAGGGGCAAAAAGAAGAAGAACGTATTATGATTGCGCGCTAGACCTGTGCGATGCGCGTTATATCTTGACCAGTCATGACGTATAGTTTTGTTGATTAAAACCTTAACGTATAGTATTAAAGTCTATATTTTTAATGGACAGACGAAATATACAGGGTTAGATGTAAAACACCAACAATATCGTATGACGATATAAGATCATAATATCAATATTTGATCTAAGAACCTTGAAATATACATTCTAATGTTACATTTTGCTTTACACAAAAAAAAATTCGACACGAATATTAGTAGAAACGAGCATCTAAAATGCATAAACTTTACATCGCGCGAACTTAGCATAGTCTCATTATTAAGAATAAGACATATGGTCAGTTGCACAAACGTCTATTAAGGTTTAATGACCTCTTTAAGCTCTAATCAAATTTGTATGGGTAATGTCGCTTTAAACAAATGACAATTTTAATGGACGGTTGTGCAACTGGCTGATAGACAATTAAATATCACGATTACACAATAAAAACATTTTTGTTGAAAGTATTACGTTACAGTCAAACTCGTAGAGCAAACATCTTGATCTACGATGCAGAGTTAATTGTGTTTAAAATATCCCTGAATACATGTATGAGTGACTAGCTTTTTACATATGCGACTTCACCCGCAGGGTCTATGAGACTAGCTTTTCCACCTTAGACCCTAGGGAGCCGTTTCGTAGGATAATAAATAGCCTATATGATAACTTGTATACTAAAAAGAACCCTTATGCAAAATTTGACTTATAACAAACTTCCCAGCATTAATAGTAGTGGAGTTTCCTTTTGGGGTCAAATTTGAGTACGTCGGTTCATCAGATTTGAATAAGTGAGTCAGTGGCAATTCAGCTTTATACATCATTGTTAACAGGTGCTATGATAGCGATATGTGACGTGAAGGAGTACCGGTCCGCTGTATGCGGTAGGGGGTCACGCGCGGCCCCGGCGCCCGCGCACGCTCTGTTCGACGCGTTGCATGCACTATGCAACCTTCTACTGGTCAAACCTGAAAATCTACACCAAGTCTGTGAGGGTGAAACTCTGGTGAGCTAGTTGATTAATACGTTACTATTATTAAGATGGAACATTATGGATTAATTTTTACTAGTGGTCGCCCAGTGGCCGAAATTCGACCATTATAAATTTCAATTAGAAGTTTAAACATAATTTATTAAAATTAAATGTTTAAAATTCATTAAGGTTCTATTTCAAAGACTATATTACTACCACAGATTTCGCCAACGCTGAATAAGATTTGTTTAACCTCCACAATAAAAACACAAAAGCACCAGCAAAGACAGATTTATATTTTTTTTACCTGTAGGATGAAACTTTTCATACAGATTACTGCTTCAGAACTTTTGTTAAATATAGAATCACAGCACATTTATATATCGCATTGCATTATACTTATCACTCACAATCACTTATTTTTCCTGTAATTATGTAAAATTACTGAAATCGAAAATCTTTTGACAATCAGTAAGACCACAGTTAACATCACAAACATATAAATAGATGTCTATGGTAAACGTATGAAACTTGACACTGGCTAAATGCACAAACTGTGCGAAGCCAATATTCAAAAGAAACAAAGAAACTCTATGTCAAAAGAAATAATTTGAACACAGAGTACATGTATGCATGTAGCAACTACTTGTTTGTGTGTGTCAAATGCATAGTAGTGTGTGTAATGATTTATTTATCGATTTAATGTACTTTATAAGCATTTTTATTAAAAAATATTAGCCGTCTGCCCTTCTCCTACATATAAACTATAAATGTGCCAAATTTCATACTCCTCCGTCCTCGCAATTTTCGTAAGGTGTCCTAAATTTTTGCTTCACGTGTTAATATATAGATAGCAGGGCTGTTTCTATTATATGTTCTGAAAATATGAACCACTTTAATATTTAAAAAAAGTAGGAAAAATATATTACAATAATTTTAACAATAAAATACATAAATAAAACATAATTGGCATAAAACTTGTTACATAAAACGTAACACCTTTCATTATAATTAATAATCAAATACAATTGCAATTTATGTCAACTTAGTCTTAGTCTTACTCGTGCATGCGTTCTAACGGGTCAGGTGATCGAATTTCGGTATCGATACTATATTTCGGTATGTAGGTAAAGATCTATCAGGAGAAAGCCCTGCTAACAAAATTTTTAAGTGATATGCATTGCCTTCTACGAGCATGTCTGGACCAGCTTCTCTTTCTTCCGTAAACAGAGTATTGCTAATATTACGACTATGGTGCGGTATTTTAAAACTTCGATACGAGTAAGTATTTACACTTTTCATTCGATACCGAGTATTTATCGATACTGCATGACCGATACGATATCGAGTAAAAAAATCGATACCTAGGTGGTATAGTTTCATCTCTATAAACAGTAGAAAGACTAACAATATATCTCACAATTAGATACATTGGCAATAGGCGAAATGCAGATTACAACTAAAAACAAACAAACAAGTATTTATTCAAGTACGCATCTTTGTACATGGCACTCACGGACAGTGGATTGTCATCGTAGTGTGTGAGTGGACGGGGCGTAGTAAATACTGCAAGAAATATGTTCATGCAAATATCGATGCGAACTGGAAGAGCGCAAATGCCCGCCATAGAAAATGGCACAGTTTCGATACAGGTCGTACGACCTGTAAAATGCGCTGTAGACAAAATGAGGGTGCTTGTCCACACATCAGTACGTCAGGTTATTTGCTAGGTGCACGATGGTAGCGCCAATTAGCGGTTACAATTATGTCGGACTTTGAAATGTCAAATGGTTGGCATTTAGTACGAATAGTAAGTAAACAAACAATAATTTTATTGAAATAGCGTAATTTACTGAGATTTTATTCGATTATGTAAACCTAAGGTGTCGTTAATACTGTTGATTTTTTTATTTTCAGTCTAAAATGCCACAATCAATTATGGAATAGAAAAGTCATACTACTAGTACACAATTATCTACAACATTTACAATAAAATTGTAAATATAATCACTACTTCTCGAAGGCTACAGATATTCACAATATAATAATAATAAATTGTCCTAAAAACTATTTTATCTTGCTTGATTATATATATCTATAATTTTGACATAAAAATTTGATTATTCAACTAGATTTCATACAAAATTTGGCACAAAAAAATATATTTTAGATACAATAAAAAAAGGTAAATTAATATGAAAAATTATTTAAAATGACACTTTTACGTAACTGATAAATATAAAAATATGTAATTTACATCATGAACATGAGCACATACTTTTCTATGTACTCATACTCCTATTTGGTGAAGCTACAGCTTAGTAATTATATTCTTGTTTCCAACTCACTCGAGGAAATCCATAAAATTTTTATCACTTTTTTTGCCATTGTTCTTGCAGCCAACTACACAGCAGGTATCGTGACGCATTTTATTAATTCTTGCTTAAAATGCACAAATATGTAAATTTCTTAAGTAAAAAGTGACACTTCGTCCGACAGAGTTTCCGTTTTAGCCACGGTGCGCGCTGCGATCGATTCGTGTTCTCCCACCTCCTACTACGCACCCAGCGAATATTAATATGTCTGTACATATCTGAGAGAAGACCCGTTGAACTTATCGACGAAAGTATGCGCCAGTACGCTCGACGTCCTTACTGCACGATTACCGATTGAGTGTGCAAAGTTGATTGTCATATATTGGAATGTTTGTCAGTTCTATCGTTACGCGATAAATCTAACACATACATCCTACAACTGGTTACTTGACAGTTATAACAATAAATTATGAAATATGTTTTGGAAATGGTATCTTATAAGGAATATCTTAGTAGTTTTTTTTTTTAATAAGTCGGTAGTGTATTTTGTATCTGTGGATTACAAGAATCGGAACGCGGGCGGCCATGACGGAGTATCGTGTGACGTCACATATTAAACTAACGTCTTTGTTGCGAGTGCAACCAGTAATCATCTATTAGTACAAGAGCTTGTGACAAAAATATACTAGTTTCTGATGATTGACCTTTCAGTATATAATGGCGTACCGAGTGCATAATGTCGTAGAATTGATCATTTCATGGTTCGGCTGGTCATTTCACAAAATGGTCGTATTTAATGAAACGGAAAAAACTTGCTGTCCACATTATGATGTGACCTGGCCAGATCAATGAATAATCTGCATTGAACGATATTAACGACTAATTATATGACTGCTTCGTGATTATTCAATTGTTTTAAATGATCATTATAAAATATGATCATAAAATGGTCGTTTTTCAGTTTCAATGAGTTGGCCTAGTCAGAATAATCCAATTTTTATAGACAACTTATTGTATGACTGCTTCATAATTTGACCAAGAATTGTTGGTCATATAGCAAAATTGTTACATTAGTTCGAGATCGCATTATTTATGTGATACGTGATTGTACCTAACAATAACTCTTTTATAAATATACTACTATAGTATTTTTTAGACCTAATGTTTAGTAATGCTTTCTTTTTTGGACATTCTACATTGATGATATGGTCAAACGTGGAGCAAAATATCATTAAACGTTGACGTTTAAACTATATAATCAGTTTTAGGTGACTATTTCATGATAAACGTCATTTTTATGAAATGGCTGGTTGCATCACGAAGTGATCAATTACAGGCCGCGACAAATACATCACTCAGTACCCAGTGCGAAGGTGAGGCGCAGGAACACCTAATGGTGACAGTGCAATTTATTAATCTAAAGAGGTTAGGTTACACGAAAGATTGCAGTCTTGAAACACGTCGATCGGCGAATGTAACACGGCTCAGAGGATTTCAGAAGTTGGTGTAAAAGTAAACTGGAAGAAAGAGTTTCATAATGGTTGAAAGTTAATTTTATTGGTATGCAGTTAGTTTACTCAGACCTTCATTGATTGGAAGACACACATTTAGCAGTCGCTAGAAGTTTGATTCGCGCCGTCGCACCTGAATGTACCAGCACCTGACCTCCGGACTTACTGAAGTATCTTACCTTTATAAAACTTGCACATTTCCGTCACGAGCTCTCAGTCTTTTATTGTTATAAGAAATCACGATTCAAAATGTCACGTGATGATATGGTTTTCCTTTAATCAATAACATTTTTGAGGAAAAATAAATGTAGTAGGTAGTAGTATGTTTTAAAATTCTTTTTCCAACAGTCAAGTAGCCAACTCCAGAAATTATTTAAAAATACTCATAATTTTTATCGCTTTAAGGATATTACTTATTTTGTTGAAATTATTATATTTGATCAATTTTCACTAACCACTGAGCTACCCAGGACCTAACAATACTGAATACAACAGAGTGTATATTCATCAATGTTCAGGCAATCCACCCAAACAGCCGAAAAAAGGATTGAAGGATTGGTTTGCTGTTGAAGTATAACAAAAATGACGAGGTTACATACATGTCATGTTCGAAAGCGATGTATGTTTTTATGTGCGTTCATCGATATTTCCGCCAATTCTTAACCGATTTTCAAAACTATTTCTTATACTACAGCTTAAGATCGAATTGGTCCCATTTAAATTTTATCGAAATCAGATCAGTAGTTTTCCTTTTATAACAAAACAGAATACGCTTTTTATCAGATATCACCTTAAAATTTAGATATGCTTATTTCAGTTAAAAAAAAAACAAAATATTTTGTATTTTGCATTCATTCAAAATCTCAAATAGAGGATTTTTATATTCAACGAGTATTTTTGAAAAGTTTTTTACATTTTTTTTACTGCTAATCCGATTTGATTAGTTATCTTGGAACCCCTTTAGGAGTTACAGGCTTTTGTATAAAATATTTAAAAATTAATGAACATGTATAAAAAAAATCAGTTGAACATAGAACACGCTCCTGTATTATTTTAAAGTCTGTTAAAAGTAAAGGTTCGTTGAACTACATGTTATAATAAAATTGCAAATCAAAACAATGATTATGGTGCATTGTACGCGTTGTGTGTCACGAGTTCTCTCTCCTTTACTTAAACGTAAGGGAGAAAAGAGATACAAAGTTATTGTTTCAAACTCTATATCAATATTTGAATTTTAAACAGTATGTAATAGGTAATTTTATACCATTACTTCAAAACACTATCGGAACTATTACATATCTGTAATTTCGAGTTGTTCTGCTGTATTTAACACGTACTAACCCGCAAAGCCAAAATTTGCGGTGTAGAGCGAAAACTTTTTATTTATTTAAAAATATATATATCTTTGGTTACTGATATTATAATGCTACTCTCAATTTTTTTACGAAAAAAAAGTTATTTGATTTTAAGAACGATTTTGGTATTTTTTAGAACACGTTTATGGATTCGTTATGTCATCCCTTACTAATAATTCCTGTACAATAAAGACAAGAGAAAATATCGTAAACATTGTTGTGTATACGTGCAGGATACATTCGTAAAATATTCAATAGTCGAAGGTTCAGCGTTATATAACGGTACGTCTACATATCGTGTCTCAAAATAACTTTAAAGTCAAACTCGTTATCGGCTCTGTTTCTTTCCAACTTGTATTTGCATATTCTGTTTCAGTTTGCAAATAAGAAATATTTTAATTTGTCAATTAAACCGGCTATTATGTGGATTGATTTAAGATGTGCATAATTGATATGATTGTAAATGAAAATGTTTTTAATTTACAAGGTCATTGTTACATTCTTCTCGTAGTACTTAAATAATATTAATATGACAGAGGAGCTTCTTATTTAATGTTATGACTTTTCAAATGCTAGGTTAAGCTAAAATTTTATTGAACTGCTATAATATCTAGTTTAGGTTAGGGTGCTCCAATTTCCAGCGCTTAGACGCTTCAATCGGTTCATTGTACGTGAATAGTTGGCTGATTTACTCCAGCTAACTCAATCTAAAAGCGTTAGAAGCTTTTTAGGGTCTTCACAATGGAAATTCTAATATCTATTTATAAGATAAGAAATTTCAAATTATTAATAATCACATTATCACATAAAGAAAAGTAATTTGAAGCTTTTATTTTATATTATGTTAGTGTTGCGTGAAGGATGGGTATAATAAATTTTATTCTTTGCAGTCAATGTAAAATGATTGAAAAGGTTGGTCCCGTCTTGTAGCATTTTGAATTCGCCCATGATTTTTTCCATTTTGAGGCGTTAATATGGATTGATTTTGAATTGACTGGTATCAAAAAAAATAAAGTCAAATAAGCAATAAATTGAAAATAAAAAAACTGGAATTTATACAATTCCATGGAAAAAAATCTATAATTTTTTTCATATACATTTTTTAACAATGTAATGAAATGAAAATATCTTTATTCAAGTAGACTATTACAAGCACTTTTGAATCATCCAAAATATTTTTTTTTCTCTACCACTTGTTCAGGACGTCTTTTAGCTGACAAGAAGAACAAGCCAAAGAAACTTACCAGCTCTTTATCATAAATAAGTAATGACATTTACATAAATCATATCATTACCAAAATAATATGTATTATCACAATAATAAATACAACTTTCAAAGTCTGTAGGACATAGGTTGAACATATAATTAGTCTTTATAAAACAAAGATAACTAGCACTAGCACTGTAATAAGCAATTCAACAATAACTAGCACTGTCTGTTGAGAGCAAAGGCTAACAAAGTACCCGGGATATTCCAGCTTTAAAAAAACATAGACGGCGGTGTGGGGGAACATTAATAATACGCAGTTATTATTTATAATATATAAATCATTGTATAATATTTTTCAATTCTTCACAGGCGGAGCTGGATCAATCGATTTTGCACAACTTCATTCAGCTACGTTCAGATTACAAGAGTCACAAGCTGTCGACATTCCTCAAAGGTCTCTCTTAAAAATTATAATCGAAAATAATTTTATATCTAGATTGTATAAACATTATATTGAACCGTATGTATTAGGAACAATATATTATTATCAAATTAATTTTAAGTGACAACCAATAATCAATTTCCGGTTAAAATATATTAATTTTGTGATGTGATTGTATTGTAAATATTGAACTATCCTTTTAGACGAGTGACTTGTTATGTTTTCGACCAGAAGGCCTACTTTGTTCGGATATTTTCAAAACGCTGATATGACAACAGCGACAGATAATAAGCGCCGCGGCCCGTGATCGTTGTTGTACAGCAACTCTCGCAAGGGTCGGTCACGGGGTGGTTAACCAAAAAAATATATTATCTCCAGCTACTCCGTGCTTCGGAAGGTGTACATACGTTAAGCCGTTGGTCGCGGCTGCTTTTACAGTCGTTAGTACCCTCCAATCCGCATTGTGCCAGCGTGGAAGGTTATGGCCCCTCCTCCTTAAGCAATGATAAGATAGGCCCCAGCAGTGGGAACGTCAAAGGATTAATGATGATGGCATGAAGCAATGAATTTTTCGTTTATTTATTATGCCACAAATGTAGGACCTGTAACTGCCTCTAAAATTATAAAAACCTTTAGAAATTTTCCATATTTTACGATCATCGGCATGCAGAGTAGGCCTTCTATAACTAACTTTCTTACTAACATCATAAACAACGAGATTTTATAAGCAATCACATCATTGTATTTAAATTATCATAGATGTTACTATAAATAATTAAATAGATTATATTATGTTATATAAAATACATATGTTATTATTTTTATTTATATATGTAACTAAGAACAAGTTAATATTAAATATTAATTTATTTCAGTAATAATTGTGTTTGCTCTTACAAATATCAAGGAATTGGATTATTTATTTAAGGAAAATTTTATATAATACAAGATACATATCGAATATCTCATCGCCCAGAGTAAATATCATTACATTATAAAAACGCCATCTAGTATGTTCACATTATATTAAATGTCCTTCGATCGACAATACAACTTTTGATCGAAGTAAATATCAATAAACAAGGACTAAATTTGTATAATTCAAAGATTTATTTGTATCTAATAAGTAAGATAACAATTACCAACATATTTTAATACTAAAGAGGATGCTGGGATTAATCCCAACTTAAAAATCGTATGTTGTTGTAATTATGAAACTTTTTTTATTTATCATAGCAAACGGTTAACATATTTGCAATGTTATACATTGAAAACGATATAGTAGAAGGAAATATAGTGCCCAAAATTTTCGAACGAACGCGATGAAATAGATGCTACTGTATAAAAGTTCCAGCTTCATGTGACTCTCGACTGATTTAAAATAATTTTACTCATCATGCTTTACTCATCTTTCCACTGAACCTAAATTGTGTCTTTAATTGTCATAATTATAATTCCAACTGTTAATTTATATCATAGATAACAGAACACTTAATATAGATAGTTAGTATTTATGTTAAGTGACCCAACGGTCTCAGTCAATGTTACTGATTAAGAATAAGATAAGCTCATAAAATAAGGCCTTAAATACACGAAAAAGCACGAAGAAGACTATATACATGTTGGATTGAGCAGCAAGAGCAGGTACGTTATTCCATTGTAGTTACACGAAAACGTAGAATCTATTGATTTCCTTATGAAATATGATTGATGGATATAAAAAAATTTGTTTTTGGTATTTTTAATTTTTTTGCGGACTGTGCATTTTTTCAAAATTTATGACTGCACTCTGTCCATCGTAATTTAAAAAAAAATATATAAACTTTTTCATGTACTAAAAATGGATAAGGTATTTGCCCTTTCTTGCCCATCTTAAAAATCCATAATGCTCATATATTCGATCTTACATTAGAAAATAGTTGGAACTACTATTTGAACAATCTCGATTTAATTCAACTTTTAAGGGCTGTTTTTTTATACAGCGTCCAATGCACGAGCTATTTGTGACTCACAAAAGCGTCACTTCACAGAAAACGATTTCGTTGACAGCATATTCATATGTAATGAATGAACCAATAGGTATATAAACTTAAAATACGTGGACTCATCACGTCAAAGTTAAAACTAAAAAAACCTAATCAAGTAAAAAAAATATCTTAATTAAATTTCGTTAATAAAAAGCGTAATATTCAGACATTATTTTGTAAAAAAATATTATTATCCAAGTAAATTCCTGATGATGGTCGCGTTATAAAAAAACATTACGAAACATTTCGCTTACAGTAGAACGTTTGCGATGGAAACTGTCCTCGGTATCACATTGAATAATGCTTGCACAGCGTCTTATCAGCGGTATCTATACGGGCACTACGTCCATTCATGAGCGCGCCCCCACCACCGGCGTTTATTTGAATGAACGCGCATGTGTGAGTCGCGTCGCGAGCGCACCTACACAACGCCCAACGGCCAGTGTCGATCTTACTAGCCGGCGGGACCGTACTGCCGCGCGACCGCGTCCCGTAATAAATAACCGCGCCTAAACAGTGCTATGCCCGCAACCTGTGTACGGCAAACCACGTTACATTAATTTTATCACTGTGAATTGTGCATATAACGTTTAATCTGGATAATATCAAAATCGAAAGGTAAGCTTTAATGTTTATTTTCATTCAAGCCCGACGCCTACGCACCGAGCGCTGTCGCGATTTGTGAGCGACTGCAAGTAATGCTGTTAGGTTCATTCATCAAAAGTTTGATCATATTTTTATTATTATACGTGAGATATGAATTGGTAATTTGGCGGTGTTATAATGCGTCGGTTCGATAGCGGTTGATTCATCGTGACGTTAAGTTATCGCGCTGTTTGGGTCGTGGATGTGCGTTATCTAGATGAGAACGGAGGTGCGTTCCATTTCGAGTGTTGTTTTTATCCCGGCGCTGCTGCTACCTGAGAGCGAGTGGATTCGACCGTCTTGCAAGTCGATACGTCAAATAGCATCGCGTAAGCAAAACTAGTCCTTAAAACTATGCGATTCCTTCGGTTTTTATTGATCGCTCGTAGGCACTTTCAAAATTATAATAAGAACTAAAAGCTTATTGATTTCTCTTTAAAATTATATTATACAAAGATATATATGACTGTTATAGACATTTCTACGTATACCGGCTTGACCATGGTAACTCTTATTCTCTCTCCTCGGCTGCTATTATATCACGAGTGACAAAGCAAATGCAACATTGTTTCCTTACTGTCTTGGAAGCGAAAGAAAACTAAAATGTGTGCTGCTTCATCACACGCGTTCAAAGCGTATAGGAAAGTACCCAAGTATGGAAAATTATGAAATAAGGAATTTCAATTCCTTCCCAAATTATTCTTTATAGAATAAAACAAAAGACACTGAAATAAGCTAAGCGAATCCACAAGTATATCCCAAATTTGCTGGACTTTTACAATTTTCTCCCTAATAAGAACAATTTTGGAAGTAATTTCATATTATCAAAGGGATTATTCCATTATATTCCATGTTTGATTACTTTCATCTACGAGTCAACTGTTGGGAGAGAAAAGATTTGAAATGTAACCGATCGCTTACAAGAAAAACTAAAGATCACTATTTAGAACGGAAGACCTGAAAATCATTACTGTATTTTATAATAAATATGGCTCGGATTTGTCACCCTTGATCAAAAGAAGTTTGTAAATTACTATTAAACAAAATCATATACCAAAAAGGCTTATTACATGTTAGTGGAATTTAATAGATAAAATGTATCTAATCTAAAAAACCTCTTTGCTTTAATGTATTGAAATCAACATAGACGGAAAAATTGCATTTCATATAAGTACTCTGAAAACAAACGGATAACAAAAAGAAAAAATTGTTAATACTTCCAGGATTCTAGGCTGAAATAAAAGAAAATCTGCGAAGACTCAATAGCAGCTTTTAGATATCTAATAACAGCTTTGCAATCGGTTCCCAAATCTACGGCAGACCTTCAACAGGAACTGCTTTGTTTCTCCCTGTTTTATTTCTTACAAAGAAGTCAGGAAGTTACTTTCCACTATAATTAAAAAAGATAATTCTTTCGCTGATCTTTCTATATACTGTGTCATATATACTCATTGATTATAAACATGTGACTTAGAAAAAAAAATTAATTGCCAGCACAGATCACCAACACAATAAATTATACCTACATATACAAAACAAATTTTGCTTTGACCTTATTTGCTTTTTTAATTTACAAAAACAAATATGTAATTTAAAAAAGCAAATAAGGTGTAAAATTATTATATACCAGGACTTCATGGAGTGGATTATTTGAGCATACTGAACAATTTTTACTATGGGAGCAACACTGAATTCACGAAAGAATTATCAGCTGTTTCATAAATTGTATTTTTTCCGTGAATTCAGTGTTGCTCGCATAGTAAATGTTATTCAGTTAACTTAACTAATCCACCCACATCCAGATTTAGATTTAGATCCAGATACATTATCATAAAAGGCAGCTTTATTGCTATGGATTCTCTACCAGCTTACACTAGGCTGATGGGGACAACACCAATAATTGAACTGCGTGTTAGTGCACTAGGAGGAACAAAACATAACTACATCATAAAATGCAATACATAATTAAAATAAATAAAAGATTGTAAACTAATAGATAGAGTTTTAGTTCTGGAGGAAGACTCAGACTTGAATATATATTTTTCTTTGCAGTTTAATAAAATAATTCTATGACCGCGCATGTCTATTATCTACGGGCAGTTCCATAATTTGATAGCTCTAACAGAAAATGCTTTGGGGTGCGGTGCGACCTCTTTACTCTCTAGTCATAGGATATGGTACTTGTCGAATATTATGACATTTCGTTTCAGTTCACTATATGACATGATTGTCTTGGTGGATTAATTTGGAATAAATGACAAAGTTGAAAATACTACTGTCAAATTTATATTCATAATTCTTTATTATTCGTTCTCCGTTATTAAAGTCCATGTCAAAGTAATAAAATGAAACGAAATAGCGCTTTAAAATCGCTAAGATGTATCCCATCATAATCATCAACTTATTGATGTCCCAACTGGGGCTCAAGCCTTCCCTATGCATGGAATCGAATCAAATCTAATAGGTAGAATGGTCCATGATCTGCCACGCGGGCCCAGTGCGGAGTGATGGATATTAACAGATGCAGCCGAGACCATCGGCTTAACGCGCTCGAGCTCGAGACAGTAAATTTTTGGTCACCCATCCTATGACCGGCCATTATGAAAGTTGCTTAACAACTATCGTAGACCGAGCTTACGACTGCATCATCGAGCTCCTCGTATCATATAGATAGTTAGGAGTTAGACGGTCGCTCTGCTGAACAAGGTATAGACATACATTTAGGCTAACAAATTTTTCCGTCAACAATAAGTAGGGTAC